GGTCCAGTCCGCCACACAGTGTGGGCTCCGTGGCCGTCTGTGGGCCGTCTGTTGAAGCGGCACCGGGGTGAGTGCACCGCCCACATGGGTTGAATCCCCACATCCTTCACACCTTGAGGAAAAAACGCACAACTTTAAGGAAGGATTTGCCTTCTCTTTATCTATCTATCTCAATCTCCTATACACTGCATCCATCCGCACCCATCCACCCAGTCTGCGGTGTTGACCAAACCCAACCCATCGAATCAGAAGACCAAGACCTTCTCCAAGCTGCTCCACCCGAAGCTTGCACTTTTCACGCCGGACCTTTCGGGGTCGGCTGCCCTGCGGATTCATCTCATCTGGCTCATGATGGCAATACTTGCAGCCAGGTCCTGAGACTCAGCTTGGATCAGAAACCAATGATCAGTTTCTGCGCTGTGCCGAAACTGGAAGAATTTGTTCATGTGTGCAGTCCCACCGGCGGCCTTTCTGTGGTTCAGAAGGGTCTACCCCCCCCCAGTGGTTCATCACTCCGATCACGGGCTCTTGAATCGATTTGCAGAACTCTCTCCTTGTCTGCAACCATAGGGGGAGCAAAAGAACAGGCAGCAGTTGCATGGATCCTTCTTGAGATAGGCCGGAAGAGACTCAAAATTCACCTCCTCTTCTGACTGGTCCGCGTTCGTGTCACTCGAACGTGCAGGTGCCGCAGTACCTGAGCCACCCAATGGGCAAAGGGCCCCAGCGATGGCCGGTCGGAACCCCAAAAGAAGACCATAATTGATTGGAAGCCTTTTGGATCCTTTCGGATGAATGGTGCCAAATGCCAAGAAGTTGTCTAGATACCGCTGCTGCTGACCAATGCGTAACAAAAAAAAAAACTAATTAGGAGCTTTGAAGGATCCCTTCATCTTGTTTCACAAATTTGGAGAGTACTGATTACCACTTCTCCAACCTCCCTCCAATGGACACCTACCCAAAAGAATCACTGGACCATCGAAGCGACCGCCGCCCCCCGGAAACGACTGGAGTTGGACTCCACGGAAAGCTGCTAGCTTTAGAGCGCTCCCAGTACATCGAAGCAAGAACCGCACCGAACATGGCGTGCAGTCGAGCGCATTTGCTAAGCACATCGTTTTTGCCAACATAGCGCTAACATCGAGTATACGACTACCTTGTTGCAGATCCGATTCAGAGTGAGCCCTGCACCCCTGAGTTCTCGACTGCGTGTTGGCAGCAATGGGTTCGAGCGATCTAGAATACGACACAGCATTAATACGCCAGATGCCTGTCCACAAGCAACAAAAAGGGGAAGAAGGCATGCAAACAGAACGAATTGCCAGCTGCAGCCACCTCAGCGAGCTCAACTCACCGACAGCCTTGAACTTTTTAGCTTAACATGCTGATTCACTGACTTGACTTGGACACAAGGCACTCACATGGCCTGGACCTTGGGAGTGGTTGAGGGGTGCCCCCAAAGTGGGAAAGTGTTCAGAACATCTGCAAAACGGTGTATAAGTTCAACTAATCAAATCAAACAAGGACAGCATTTCCCCATTGTGTCTAACTTTTAGGAATTTAAAGGTTTAACTTGTTGTCTTGAGGCTATCCCAAAAGTGGGAAAAGTTCAGGTAAGTGGGAATGACATGGAAAGGTAATGGCATTTATTGTCCATAGGCTAGTGGTGCCCAAAGTGGGAAAGCCATATGAGTGGAAGGCATTGGCATTTATCCCAGGCTGAGTTTTAGTGAAAGGTTGTGTCCAATGTGCTGCTTTCCTTGGGTTGTTTGCTGTTTCCTGTCATTGTTTTTCGTTTCATGTATATAGAGTTCTTCTCATGGGAAACCACTTTTAGTAGTGAAGTGATCATTACCCTATGAACAACCTAGCATAGTGATTTCTTGATTGACACCCTGCTTTTAACTGCACCGCGGTGAAACCGCGGCAAGCCAAGCACCGCGGCAAAACCGGTCAGGGGGGGTGGGGTCCGGTCGAGATGTGGGATCCGATCCGTTTCAAGTGGCAGCAAGCAATTTGACCCAACAACTTGAACATGTGATGATTGCGATGATCCTGTGTGACCCCAAGAAGCGGATTTGTCCGCAGGTTTAGGATTTGGCACAGTCTTCCTCAAGTGGATGGGGCGAGCAAAAAACTACAAGAAATGCACCTGCTGTAGCAGGCAAACAACTGTGCGCCCTGTGAGAAGAGGAATCATCTTTGCAGCAACATGCATTAAAAAACACACCGACGTTAGTTTAAGTTACAATTATATATATCCCGTCAAAATTCAGGACATGGGAAGGTCTCGAAAAGAGATCTTCAACGTAACATGTGAAAACAGCTACGAGAAAAAAAACACCTACCAAATGAAGGGCCTCAATGGTATTTTGTAGAAAGCGTGCGCGCATGCAGTCTCTACAAAATGAAGGCCCCTCCCATAAATCTCAGGAATCAAGGCCTCATTTTGTAGTGCATGCTACATGTGGTCTTCCAAGTCTACCAAATGAAGCCTCTTCTCTACAAAATGAGCCTAGTCTTTTGGTATTGTTGTCATCGGAATAGTCTACAACATGTGTTTCTCATCGTTTCATCTAAAGTCTGATTTCTTTTACAACATGCTCTTCCACACTTGTGCATATAGCCAAAAAATCTTTACACAATGAGATCATCAAAATTTATTATCTTACAAAGTGACATGTCCGAACTTGGGAAACATACTACGTATATGGGCCTTTTTCACCTACAAAATGCATGGTGCCCCGTGAGCCTCCAAACATTCCTCCTACAAAAAGATGTGGAAAGTAAATCGGGTGTGTATTTTGCAGGCTCCAAAACAGCCCTTTTTTGTGGAAATGATTTTGCTAACAGAATGGATCAGAATGTTAGCTCTATCTTGGCCTCAAGGCCCACCATTTCATGGGAGCCAGGAAGGTTCGAGGATGATATTGTTATCACTTGACGGTGGAATTGGAGGGTTCCCTCTTCCATACTTCCCACAGAAGAAGCCAAAGAGGGAGTAAAGGAACTAAGGGAAGTTTCTGGCATGCTCTCCACTTCGGGGAGCGCCCAGTTGCTCGATGTTGCTTGCACTACACTTTACATACTTACTACCACCCTTCTTGAATCCAAGCTGCTGCTTGCAGCATTGACATCCTTCTCCTCATCACTCCTCAGATGGTACAGTGATACTGCATGGAACTATTGCTTTGTGATTATGATTCTAATTGATTATGTATATAGCTCTGCGCGCATGTTGTGAATGCTTCAACTGTTTGCAAAACGAACGCCACACCATTCTTGTTTCGGATTTGGTGGCTGGCGCATATGACTACGGCCTCGCTATATAGCTTCTCTCCGGCTTCTCTCCTGCATGCCATAAAGCGGCTCTCACTAAGAATGGTCGGCCTTTCATCCCCATGGTTCCAATCCATCATGCAACGACCACCCCTCAGTCTTCGTCCACTCCGTCGCCACATCGGCCGAGCTTCTCTGGACCGTGTCGACTGTGGCCCAGTGCTGCAGGTCGGAGGACATCGAAGTCGGACGAAGGTGTGGAACTGCTGGAGCTTGAACAAACTCACGCGGCGACGAACGGACGAGCTGGCGCGCATGGAGGTCTTAGGACCGGGTGGTGAAATGGCGTCCGACCACCGCCAGCAACGATCAAACATGAAATCGCGACCCCGTCCAAGAAGCAAAAACATTCAAAGAAACCCTATTTTCAGGTTGGACATAGTATGACATAGTTGACTCACCCGCACCACTGAAGCAATGAACGAAGGAATGCTTCGTGGATTGGTGCTGATTTGGAGTGCAACTGCGTCGCCATGGGAAGGAAGACCGTGGTTACTGGATGATCAAATCATCTGATCTTAGCAGTGACTTCAGAATCAGGTTGTAACGGCTTTGGGACAAGTCTTGGAGCTCTAGCTGCTCTCCACTCTCGCTCTCCACTCTCGCAGGTCTTCTCCCTTGTCAATGAGTTTCCATGCACGTCACGATTGATTTGGGAAAGAATGCTTCAACGACTCTGATTGTCCTGTTCCCAAGACCCTTCTGCGGGTCCCATCTGAAATTTATATGAGCCAGGTAGGGCCCTTCAAAGACTTTCCACCTACCACCAAACTGAGCAAACGAGCATGCGTTCACCTCATAGACTGTACAGCAAGTGATCCATCCGGGTATGGCAAACCATATCTATCCATATCTCCCCAGCAATTATCGTGAGAACATCTCTGCTTTCAATAAGCTCACCAACCATAGATGCATCAACAATGCATCTGACAAAGGTATCCAGAAGTAAGATCTATCATGCTGGCCCCCCTCTCACCGCAAGCTTGGTTTCCTTGGACTTGGCGCGATGGCACACTACCTCTCCATCTCCGTCCGGAACGCGCCTTCGCCCGGAGTGTCACCATCGACGCTACCACCATGGCTCTCTGCCGGCCGACACAGGGCAGGGTCCATCGTCGTACATACTCTCGGACCTGCTAGGCCTGACTCAAACTCTGCGGAAGAAGCGCCAAGTGTCGGTGATGCGACCGGTAGGGACACAGGGAATGAGATGGGAATGAGCTACAGTAGCTACAGTATGGCGGCAACAGTGGCCCCAACATACTGCAAACCAACATGGAGCCTAAGAAAGGATGCTTGGAAGACTATTTTCCTCCACAAACAGTTTTTAGGGTGCATGTTCATCTGCAAGAGGGTACCCAAACCGACGAACCGCAAGGATTCCCAATGGAATGACTCGATAATTCCTCCCCCACGAAGCTCCAGCCGACACAATGCCTCTCGTGAACTCATGGTCAATCTTTGCAGGTCAGGGAATGGATGCCATACTCCCTCTGGAAGATGGCCGCTTGCCAAGTCGAAACTGATCCCCCCTCTTGCCCCCCCCCAGCCATCAGCGACATCCTTCCTATTCGATTCTGGAATTTAACAAAGAAATCCGAATCGATCGCGTCCCATGGCGTCCCCATGGGCGAGAGGAGAGGAGAGGATCGTCGCGTCTCCTCCTTGGTGGCTTTCTTGCTGCCTTCGCTCTCAGCCTCGCTCAAGCACACTCCATGAGAAAGCCGGACTTCATCTGAAAACGTGGAAGGTCGAGTGAAACGTGAAGGAACACGTTTAGAACGAGTGATCATTCATCGAATTCTGGTGATAGGACAAGAAGCTCGCCGATCTGAGTGGCCCGATCGGGATCCCGCACTCATTCAAGCAAAGCTAAAAAAGCGTGTACATGTTTCCCGTGAATGATGTTTGGGATCACTTGCTGGGCATTTCTCTCTCTCTCTCTATATACATAGAGTGAGAGATGGCGATAAAAGCTCAAGAAAAGACTGGCAAGGGTGTTCCTACTAACTGCATGCAACTGCCAGTCAAAGATTACTTGAGGGAAGGCAAAGTCCAGCCAAAATAAGGAATCTCGATAACACGAAACACCACATGAGCGAGACTAAATGGTGGGAGAAACACATAGATGGTGTCTTTTCTAGAGTCCCCTGTCCTCCTTTCCCATTTCGGGATGCTGCCCTGTCTGTGTCAAATCCAGCACCCTACTCTTCTATAAAATGTTTGTCAAGGGTTCACAAAAACAACCTCTATAAAATGCAGTCAACGGTTCCTGAAAAGCTCTGAGTTTCCAAAGCATTCCAAAATGCACGTTACAGTCAAATGACCGGCAATTTGTAGAGGAACATTCACCTGGCATGCGTTTCCAGGTCTGCGTTTGTGCTCCATTCATGTCAATTCCAATCAACTTCTCAGCAGTTCGACACACTGAACATTGAGTTCTCTCCATCCACAGGTCCCTCCTCCGACAAAGCACACCACACGTTCCCTACGTGACCGTCACTGACCAGTCATATAAAACAAGACGCTGCTCTGGCCATCCGAAGGAGCGATGCAGCTGTGGTCATTTGCTGGGTAGGACTCATCTTTCGAGCAATGCCTAAAGACAACCATGCAAAGACTGGCAGTGCTGTGCTGAGCTGACTTGATATCTACAAACCAAAACAGACCCTTCTTGAATGTGCAACAACTGGCCGCCTGGAACAACAACTTGTTTCCTGTGATGATGCCGTTATTTGGCCTGGGTGTGTTGAATTCCCTGACAAGGGATCGGCTTGTGCTTCCGTGTGGGCCTCATAAAGCTTCCATATTTGCACAAAATATAAAAGGTGGCTTTGATCCACGTTGGCAGTCGCTGCTGGCCTTCCCCGCGCAAAGAGATATAAAACTAAGGCAGGATCACTGTATAGTCTAGTTATATTGGTATTTTTGATTGCTGGGAGGTCCTGGTTTGTGGATGGCAGTTCAATATACACTGCACATGCCGAAGTCAACCACCAAAGGCGTCAGGGCCCAGCATCTTCAGGCGGACCGAGATGCTATCTGCCTTGGCAACGAAGTCCAGCTCCACACCTGCCTGTTCTGTGCGCATTGGAGAGGGCACCTCTTTCAATGGGAGTGCGCGAGGGTTTTCGGCTCGGATACACGGTCCCGTGCAGGAATGTGGCATCCGCAGAGTTCTGGTTGAATCTACTTACAGCGAAGAAACAATTCGCAAAAACATTGCTGGCGGGCATGTCTTCCAACAAGAACATGTTCTGTTATAAGTGCTCCCCGCAAGGTCGCGTGTAGTGGGGGTTATCGGGATTAACACACCGTGAAGGTGAAGATATGCGAAGATAATATAACATCAACTGGAGTTGCACATGGCTGATTATGACATCAACAGACTGTTTCATTTCATGATCTGTCAGGTTTTCCTGGACGTTCTTTTGGACTCACATGGGATTTGGACTTCCATGTGTGGTTCCCGCCAGGAACACCGGTCAGTTGCACCGGTCACATCAGTCAGCAGTTGCGGCCGAACGGGTCTCTGTGGCCTTCAAGGCCGCGAAGGCCACGACGTTCAATTCTTCCAGCGCCTCGAAGCCCTGAACGAGGGTCTCCAGGGTGGAGCGGGGAAGTTTGGTTCATGGCTGGTGACCCGCAAGGGGGGATGCTAGTTCCACGCGACGCAATCAGCAGTTGTCAGCTGCTCTACGTACAGAATTGAACGATCAGGACATGGCAAGGATCGATCACAAGCAACCGAAGGACCAAAGAAGGAAATTAGAATTGTTCAGTATTATCGGTTGAGGTATGGCTGCAGCAACCGTTGTGCGGTGAATTGCGATTCCTCCAATCAAACAGACTGGAAGAGTCATCAGTCTGTACAAGCTGGCGTCCACGGGTGTCCATCAAAGAAAAAACACGTGGGTGTGTATGAATGGAAAAACTTCCAAAAGACCCCCTGACAGACCAAAACCCATTGATTGTGGGTCCCTCTTACAAACACCCCCCATAATCACCCACATCTCTTTTGTGGGCTCGGTCGTCAACAATGCTTCAACTGTCAGGAATGGGGCGGACGGTGCATCGCTGTATCAGCCACAAAGCCGCAGGAACAGCTGGTCAGTTGCAACAATGAGCAAAACCAAAAGCAGAAGGACAAAAGAAAACAAGGAAGGACAGAAGCAAGCAACAAGCAACAAGGAAAGAAGGGGAAGAGGGGACGGAGGGACCAAGACTAGCACTTGCGATCGTAAACGTGAGCAATTACCATGATTAAAAAACAACATGTTCGACGCGGGAGTTGTTGATCTGCTATATAGTTTAAATTTTGATGTGTCGATGAAGTTTTTTGATGGACATGCCTGCGTGTATGTAGCTATGTAAGTTTGTTTGTATGTATGTATATGTGTATATGTTGCGATGCAATGCGATGTTAAATATACATATGTATATATACATATATATATATTTACTGCATATGTAAACGAACATCTGCAATGCGATTTGGATCCGTGAAACCCACAAATAGATGTTTCATGCCTGTCCGGGCAAGGCTATTTTGGCAGTCGTCAGCCAAACGAGGCCGTCTGTGGCCCTTCATCGTTTTTGCACACGATCGACTGGAGTCATTGTTGGTCCTAGTTCTGCCTGCAAAACAGGCCTCTGAATGGGTCTGCGAACTCAGGCTTGGTTAGTCGGATGTTATGCTAGTAGCAAAACCCAGCATGACTAAGCTTTCAAAAACATGCTTTTCACGGTTCACTTGCACCACTCAGTGGACTAGGTTAGACATCAATCCTGTTCGTATTTATAAGATGTGCCTTGCCCCGAAGCAAGAAAGTACATGTGCAGTCTCGCCTCAACATCCGAACCAACCAGCGGGCCAGCAGCCCTGCCATGGCACAAAAGACTGTGGAGAATTATGTTGGGAGCATTGATAAATAATATAATCAATGCAAGCTAGAGGAGAACCTTCCGAGTGCGGAAACAATAACATAGATTGGTGGGCAGGTGAGATTTGCACATTTAGTAATTACAGCCGCCAATGTACAAAGCAAAGGTTGCTAGACAAAAGTCGGAGTTTCTAGATAGATTTTCGAGACTCTAGAAGCACGTGCAAGAAACGTCCAGTCCAGGGAAAAGCGCCGAAAAGAGGGGGTTGATATAGACTCTAGACAGCACGCACTTCAACACACCATAAAACAGATCACAACAACAACAACAACAACAACTACAACTACAACTACTACTACTACTACTACTACTACACTTCTCACGACATCACTCACAACAACACTTTACCACTCGGCAGGCCTAGCTGCTGTTCACCACGCCCCTCGCAAGCCAGGCCATTACATGCGGCATCCTGTCACACCAATGGCATTGGGCACTTCACACGAAAAGTCACCAGCCACCACTACCACAGTCACATCATCACACCAACCCCTACATGACACTCAACCTTGACCACACCGGACCCACTTAGCAGCACAAACCTCATCATCTTTTCTTCTAGTTTGAGACCCGTGGACACTTCCACCTCCCCGGCTCTGCCAGAGATTGTGCGGTAGCCCGGTAGCATTCTTCTGAGCAACGATCAGCAGCTGAGGTTGAGACCCCAAGAATCATCAACAAACACGGTGGTGGTTGGATATGCTCTGACCCCGGAGTGCAGGGCAATTCATGTGAGAGGGATGAGCCATCTCAACAAAAGTCTGCTGATTCTTGAGTCTTAGTCTTGAGATGTTTTGGTGCAAATGGCACGTAACCCCTCTTCACAGCCTTGTTGGACTTCGAGGTTCTGTGGAACTCCTCTCTTCAACCCCCAAGTCTTTTGAGGCTCGCGCCACGCCTGCTCTGCTCTGGCCCTGCAGGACGATGCCAAAGGTTGCAACTTCGATGCTTCAGATTCCCGTTTGGGCGTGTGTCGATCACGCACACCCCTATCCAATGGATTTGTGGTCATTTTTTGTCAATCTAATTTTCTTTGCCTGTTGAACCTCGTGTTGAAATAAGACCATCTACCAGTCTACCCATTGATTTATAAAACTTTCACCGGGGCAAGGTTTGGTTGAATGTTTTGTGGGTCGTTGAGTCGTTGGGGTTTGCATGCCCCGGTGCGCGCCAATCCATTAACCCCTGCCTTTGCCAAGGCAAGTTCTCCCACATCACTTGGTATCCCATGTGAGATCCGCATTTGGTCGGGTAAATGCATATCTTATCATATTTTTGGAAGGGTTTGTCAGTTTCTCCCTCAAATTGTGTGTGCACAACATTTACCAACCTTTTTTGTGGAGGGATCCAATGGGGTTGCCTTAGTCCACCAACTATTGTTGAACACGTTAAAACATGTTAAAACCATTGTGATAAGCCCGTTTCCCTCCAAATATCTGTGGTGCCCCCACCCAGAACACAAAACATCAGCTCAGGATTTCTTTCTAGTTTCGGCTCCTTCATCCGAGTTCCACAAGAAACACGGAGACTCAAATTTTGGATCGACTCAATGTCGGCCTTCATCCTCACCGTCAGTGTCTGGCACCTGCCAATGATCTTTTTCGAACTGAAAGGTGCGGCTTTGCACCGGCTCAAGGAGACTAACATCACTGGTGGAAACTTTAAAGCACAACCTCCACACTGCTGAAGTCCAGCTGCCAAAACCCTACCCCACTGTCTCCTGCTCTCTTTCGGCCACCTGGACTTCCCTAAGCAAGGCCACTGTCACCAGGCAACAAACAGCCCCATTCCCGCCATTCACGCCGCTTCAGCAAACACTTCGAAGATGTGCTGTGAGGCACCAAATCCCCACAACCACTCCCACAACCTCATTCATTCACTTTGCGCTACGGGTCAAGTCGCATTGCCTGGGTGGTTGCCGTGTCGCCACCTCGCCGGCGGCATCGAAGTGTCCGCAGCGTCAGGAATGTGGTCCCCCGTCAAATGGTGAAAGCAACCGGACATCACTGGACCACAGACCAAGGTTTCGGACATCACTTAGGTTTGGAATGTTTTGAATACCCATTGAAGTCTCAGCTTTGAAAGGTTTTGGGCATCCATTAAAGTCTTTTGCGGTTTGCTCTGGCCGATTTCTGTGGTCCTGAAACCTGAGACCCACACATGTCCTTTCACTCACCTGGATTTCTTGGTCAGGTGGGTGGCTTCATACATCTTGCATTTACCGACAACGTTCTGTAGCCATGGAGATCTAGCCCCAAGAATGTCACCTTCTGCGTGGCAGGTTTTCGAGGCGTTTTCCTTCCATTCGTGTCCGGAGTGTGTCGGATCAGTCTCGGGCAAGGGATCCATTTGACTCCGTCGAGCATCGGTTGGGAGGCTTGAAGAAGGGGGACAATGGCAGTCGCCCCCATCTTCAAAGCATTTCGGTCAGTTTGTGTGGCAGCCAAATGCAAATGTGGTTCTCATGCTTTCTGCATCTTTCTGCCTTCCCCTTAGCTTCTTTGTTCGTAAACTTCGAGCGTCACCCTCCAAAAAGGGAACCAACTGAGGGCATGATTGCAGCAAACGCCTCTCTGCCATTAGTCTGTGACTTGAGTTGCCGAACGTGAAACCGTCTGATCCATACACCGTGCGCCAACCTGATGGGACGATGGGACAGAGTTCTCGTCGCTGGGGGATGATGAGCCAGGAGAAACTCACTCGCCCGAGAGCCTCCGCGCCTATAGCTGCCCAGGCCATGGCCACAGAGTCCAAATCTTCGGGTGAAAGCTGCGCCATGATTTTCAACATCGCGGAGGCCTGCTGGTCACCTGAGCTGAGTGGATGCACAACTTTTTTGACCAAGTGCTTCACTTCGAAGCAGTAGTATAGTATAATTTTTGTGTGTGTGTGTGCGGGGTCATTATACACAGGGCCCAGGGCTACGTTTGTAGTGTTGGTCCATTTTCGGTCCATTTGATGTTTTAGATCTTGCTTCAACCAAGAATGTTCAGAAAACACACATCGACACATCGTCAAGTTTGTTCGGCCTTGCTATTGCTGCTCTTGCGCTCATCTGGGTCTTGCTGAGGACTTCGAGAAGTGCGGGATGCTGACAGGGCTTCATCAAAACAGGCTCATGATGGCTAACGGCTAACGATGCTAATGACTGACCAGGAAGGTGACGGACATTTGGGATTGAAAGAGTCTCGAACAAATAGTTGAGACCTCTGAGTTGGTCTTATCTTCAAAGCAAAGGTACTTTGATGATTTTGACTCCTAAGACTCATGCCCCCAAGGAGAAACATGCAGAAACTACGAGACACTTACAGGACACCTTGTCATCCGGATGCCGTACTCCCGCAAAAGCTCCCATAATGGGAGCTGGCAAACTTTCTCCGTGAGACAAAGTAACGGATCTCAACTTGTGACTTGATGTGACTTGTACATTTTCTATGAAATGGTCATCATATATGAATCATGAATGAGGTCGTTTCTCTGCTTCTCTGTCACAGTCCCACCTTTCGAGTGTGGGGACCCATTACCCTAGGGGGCAGAAGAAGCCTCTGGACACCTGGGTGTGGGTCTGGACTCACCCTACAAACTGTATGGAAGGTTGACATCCCGAACAAGGAATCTGTTCCAATCTGAACCTCTCATGCACCAGTCGACACAACCAAAAATACGTCGATTGCGGAAAAGCGTCTGAGACCTGCGACTTTCGCTTCTCGCACGGTTTCTTCCAGAGCGCTCTGGTGATCCTGCAGCGAGAGTGATCGAGAGTACGGGTGCCAACCAGGAGAAAATGTAAGGCTGAACAATACATCATCTGGAAATTTTGTGACCAACCGACCAACTCTTCACGTGACAAGATCTGCTCTTAATCTTCTTGACAGCTTTGCGTGAAGGCAAAAATCACCAAAGCAAGCGCATCATGTCACAGGACAACAACAGCCAAGAAACGTGCGCAAAGGCATGCAAAGCCATGCACTTAAACCCTCCCTCTGCCCCGTGCCCTTCACAATCTCTTTCTATCTCTTTCTGCTTCTCTTTCTCCTCCTCTTTGGCTGTGCATTTTTCAATTATATTCTCTCTCTCTCTCTCTCTCTTTCATCTCTCGAATCTCTCTCCCTTGATCTTTTGCCAAAGCCAGCAGGTGTGTGAGTGTCCGCCTCTCTGTTTGCCTGGGAGTTCTGCATTCCAGCACCTTTCACTACACCGCACCCAGTTCTTTCCATTATGGTTGATGTCCTCCCTTGCACAACGCTAAAGGTGAACTGTAACTAACACAAGGCATCGACCGTCGGAAGTGATCAACCGTGCCTCCCATGCTGCGCCCTCGGCCGGGACGGCCGCTGTCCCAGCGTTTCTCGATGTGGCCGCACGCAGTGCTCGGGCCGCCACACGCCCTTGATCTGCCACGGAGGCACCTGAGTCGCCACTGGGGTTCACACATCGACCGAGGTAAAGAAATGGTATGGTTGACCTTCTTTCTCGGGTGGAGATTCCCCGACTCAAATCTCAAATCTCAGGTCTAAATCGGTTCAACAAACCAACATTCAGGGGAGCCACTACACCAGCAAAGCGGAATGCAAATCATGTGAGTGTTCAATAATATCTTGGGCTGCTATGGTATGCTACACGTCTTGAGATGAGTGCCACAGGGATGAGCTGATGCACAGCGCCTGCATCCGCAAAGGCCTTGACAGCGAGTGCCACCTCTGTCGATACATTGCCTGCGTCTGCGGGCAACATGCTGTCTCGAGTATATTTCCCCACTTGGTTTCTCTGCTTATGTTTATTCTCTGCATCCGGTCCGCCCCCTTTTCCTCCTCCTCCCGTCTACTCCTCACCCACATTCACTATCATTCACTCACTCACTTACACTTTACACTCACTCACACCAAGTCATCTCACACCAGCTGACACTCAGCACTCTCGCTAGCTCGCTCAATCGCTCGCGTAGACCCACATATATCTACAGTATATTCTATATACGTATAATTATGTGTGTCTGTGCTGGACGGTCTCCACCCTCCGACGAGTGAGCGAGTGACTCCCCGCCTTGGAGCGACCGGAGCCCCGCGCTGTGCCGTGCGAAGCTCAGTGCGTCAAAGCTACGCTTGGCCGCTGCACGCTGCTGAAAACTCATCTCCTGGCGCGTCTGAGTTGTTTGTTCCTGGGGGGCTTTGAGCCCACCAACAGCACCATAAATACGGCAAAGAGACTCAAACAGATATATGCATTTATCAGGAATGGCCAGGTAGGGCTGTTGGGATCGATCCAGGTGTGGGTCGTCTTGGTTCTTAATGTTGGATCCCACTTGGCTCCGGCGCGCGACACTCTCGAAGTTCCTCTTCGACGATCGTTTTCCGACCTCGACAATCCCACTCGTCTTGTCCGCTGGTTCCGCTCAACGAACTTTTGCCACGCCCCCGCCGGCATGGGTTCTGAGCAACCTCGAACGACCCAGTGACCGGACGCCAGACACTAGAAACCTCGACCAGGTGCCCTGCAGTGCCCAGCTCCAGTCCTGCCACTTGAACTTCAACAGCGCCACTTCTCGATCCGAGAAGCCAGCGCTCAACGCAGCTTGGCTTAATGCCAAGAGGTCACCTGTTAGGCCAAAAAAAACCGAAAAGGCCCGGTATTTGGAGGAACCAGCGGCCTTTTTCAACGGGATTTGAAATGATTTGGATGGGTCTGGCAGTGAAAACAGCGAAAACACTTCACCACTCATTGGGTAACACTCAGTCAGGACACTAAATTCATCCAAATTCACTGATAGGGCGCATTCCACACCGGAAGTTTTCTCTTTGCGCTTCAGGCTGCTGAGGCTTCAGGTACTGGATACAACCATGTGCCAATATGTGCCACATGGGCATTTGCCCCAACCTGCCAAGGTTGGTTCCATCCCTGCAGAGCCGTTCATCTTCAACTGGGGCTCTTGAGCTCCAGCAGCTGCACTCAGCGCTGCCGCCAGAATCTCCCGCTTCTCCTGGCCGATTCTCCACGCAAGCGCAGACCTGTTTGTGCTAGCCCCTAGTAGCGTCCTTGCTCCTAGTAGCGCTAACACAAAGCCCAGACCTGGTCCGGGATTGCAAGCTGGTCAACTTGCTGCTTCACAGCATCCCCAACCTGAAGCGAACAAGTGACGGTTCTTGGAGTGATAAGGTGCTGGTCACCAACACAAAACCTCCATTTCCATGTGGTGGAGCTGTGAAACCTCGTGCGAGTAGAGTAAAACACATGCAATTGATTACCAAGTTTCACCACACCAACCCCAATTCTGCATACCAACGCGCTCGTGACATCTTCCTGCTTTGGTTTCTAAGCACCCCACTGACGGTGAGGGCTGAAAAGGAGAAGTGGTACAGCACACCCTTTAAGAAGGAGTATCCAGTGTCTAGGACAATGACTCTGGGTGGCTCAGGTCTTGGCCCTGGCAGCCAGAGTGCCATCCTGATCCCCCACACCCACACGCCTAAAACCTGCAACAATGGTCCGTGGCTTCCAAGTTCTTGGGTCAGTATGTGCTCTCACATCGGGTGGTGGCTTCAAAAGCCGACACTTGGTCCTCCCACCTCACCTCGACCTCACCCCCTTTGGATTTCGCCATGCGACCACTTCAGCATCAGAGCCAAAGGGATGAGCACCTGAGATACAACCAAACACACCGGCTCACTTCGTGCAAGGACGGACCGACCAACGCACCAACCAACATCATCGGGGCACATCGGCCGCGAGACCGTGCTGCGCACCGAACCATGACGAACGCCACACGAATCATGACCGCTCGTGGTCTCTGACGGTGGTGAAGGATGGATTCTGATGGATGTCGACGCAAACACCAGTTACAAAGCGAAAAGATGCTAAACGCCATGGACCTCGTTGATATCATCTGAAAAATGAGGACCCTGACCCTGTGAAAGTGACACCAGTCGATTTGGCGGTTATCTCGTTGCAATTGCACCGGTTTCATTGAACTTCATTTCAATTGCTAGTTGACCTATAGGTAATGTTTTCCACTGTCTTGCTTTCCGTTGCAGCGTAGCCACCCACGGAATCCCACTGAAACGACGGGCGGGCCGTCGTCGAAATTGCTTGGAACCTTGGCAGCTTTCTCAGAAACCAAAAAATCATCCGGATCAATAAGGCAAAATGAAATCATGCATATTCTGTCTAACGCATTGAGTCAACTAAAGTGCTAAGAATTTCTCCGTTGTCACTGACTTGCTATGCAGGCCGTCCTCTTTCTGAATCACACGGGTCTCCACCCACAGCTCAGTCCGAGAGCGAGGCATCTCGGTGATAATCATCTGAGTTTGAGGACTCTCGCCTCCTGAAAGCTGAGAACAGTGGAAAAGGTGACATCGCCCAAGTCATGTAACCCTGTAACCCTGCAACTCCTACATGACTTGTCCGTGCTTGCGGGTCCGTGTTTTCTGGATTGAATAAAGTCCGTTTTCGCAGAGTCTTTGCTTCATGGGATTCGATGCACGTCGTACGAGCAGCGTGCGAGTGAGACGTGAGCGTGTTCGCACCTTCCTCGTGCGGTCACTCGCACGCGAATTTCACCTGCGTCACACGAGGTAATGATAGGTAACGTATAAGCCAATAACCGTTGAGGATGTAGGCTTAAACCGTGTATATGGGGTTAAGACAGAATAGTTAAGCCTAGATTTTAGAGTATATATATAGCATTAAAATTAAGCCTAAATTAATTGTCTTGAATGTGTACATTATTGTACATTCATGTGGACAGCGCGCGAGTGAACGCACAAAAGAGTGAATGCGCAGGTGAGCGCGTGAACGTGCACTCGTCCGTACATATCTTTTCCACCCGTTCACATCCACTCGTGACAAACTGCATTACTGCACGAGAGGACAAGCATGATCATTGAGACGCCCACCTCTGGAACAATAGTTACTGCCCATGGGCTACTGACCCCATGATTGAAATTCGCTTGCTGGGCCATCGAGTTACATCCACCCGGATGCGCAATGGCAAAGCTACCAAGCCTCCCAAAGGAATGCTTTCGCACTCGAACTCTGAAGATATGACCAAACCACGGAAAACCCACCCCCGCTCTCTCTCTCTCTCTCGCGCTTGCTGCACCTGTGGGGGGAACTGTTCAAGACTTGTCTGGGTGAAAAGACGTGTGGCAGTCCATGGGACCCACACAAACCAAACACATGATTCAGCTAACTGGACGAACCAAACCAATGCAGAATCAGAACTGAGCCCACTTTCTTCCATGTCAACCCATGCACTTCCTTTTTGGGGAACTTCCTTCTGATTAAAAGGCAATCCTGCTGCTGCCAGAACTGCAGCTTGCCCTTCAGCACTGAAGGCTTCGACCGCACTGGCCAAGCCCTGCAGTGGCAAGCTGGTGGTGGCTGCATCTGCGCGAGTCGAGCAGGCGGGCGGGCTCGGTGTTAACGATAAACAATGCAATTGCATGCAAATGTCTTGATCTCTCTTTATGTTTTTGGAGATCTTCTCTACATTCTCATTCATTTCAACTTCTGTAGGTGAAGGTGCTGCGCTGATTCACAAAATCACGTTGTACTGGACGTTTCCTTCCCTTCTTTGGACCAGGGTGCTGATCTGCAAAAAAGCTAAGTATAGATCTTTGGGCAGGGTTTGCAGTACCATGCCAGGCTGCATCCAAATCGCAATCTCCCTGCTGAAACCTCTGCCTATTTTCAGGACCCCCCAACCCACACCGTCAGCCAATGCGCGCACAGCCGCAGCGGCGGACGAGGCCACCTGCGGTGAATGTTGACCCACCCTGCGATATCAATGTTAGGTCCTATAGGCCTATAGGCTCAATATAAGTTTTGAGTTCTAAGAAGCTTACTTCAGGATCTTCAGGTCCACTCTTTCTCTCTCACTCTCTCTCTCTCGCTCTCTCTTTCACCTTTCGGCAATATGGCTGTGGGATGCTGTGGGAAAACCCCAGCAGGCCACCCGTCTGCTGCGAATGAGACGGGTGCAAACGAAACATAGCTGTGTCACTGACCAGCGGCACCCACAAATCAATTCTGAGTGTGGTCACTAAATTAGTAGTTTCCCAGGTTGTGCCTTCATGCTTTCGACCGTGCGCCTGCTTCAGTGCTTGAATTAGACGCCCATCGCATCTGCGCATCTGGAGCGCACACCAAGTCCGTCTAAGATCGTCTTATGTGGTGTGCGTATACAGTACATCTTCTTGCTCTGCCACAGCCATGTCTAGTGGCTGGAGGCCGCGTTCCAGCGCCGCAAAGAGAAGCTGGGGTCTTTGTGTCGCAGTCTTGCAGCGTGAGGTCAGCGGACTGGGTGGAGGTCTTGGATGGCATGGCTACTGACATGGCTACTCCGGGGTCTGGTGACCTGGTGGGTGGGTTTGGGGAGTCCTGGAGGTTTGCCGTTTGCCTCGACATTTTGGTTTGCGTCTCTGACCAGTGTGTCCCACAAGCGTGCCTTTCCTTCAAGATTGTCGCACAAGAGTCTCAAGAGCATTCTGGAAAAATGTTCTGGAAAGCGTGTTTTGCAAGAGAATAAGAGTCAGGTAGAAAAGGGCCACAAGAGCGCCGTCAGTGTGTTCTCGACAGAGTGCTGCACAAGAGTGTCCCAGAAAAGTGTCACACAATAACTGTCCTGCATAAGTGAGTCGCACAAGGGTGAGTCCTGCGCAAGTGTTGGGAAAAATGGGGACTGTAAAGTGGTTCTACAAATTGTTTAAAACTGTAGGGCGTCGCCCCGAAATTTTCTCCCAGTATGTATTCGAAGTGAACTTCCTTTTTGTGGTGGGTGTGAGATGCTAGTTATATAAGTGTCTTCCATTCAGCTTGGTCGCCTGTCGCATCCAGGTTTCCAAGTAGCTTCCTGTTACTAGTTGTAATGCCCTTGTTACTAGATGTTACTAGTAGCGATGCATTTGTTACGTTCGTAGCTTGCTACTCCACAGGATGAACTCTACCAGTCCCTCCGACCGATCGACCGATCCGCGCGCCTCCGCGGCCGAATAGTTGGCTTTCGCCGCCGCGGTGACGGTCTCGGCCACCTCCGAGGCCCGGCGAAGGCTGTCGGCCACCTCCGGAGACCCTTCAAGTACCTGGTATACCGTGGAGAGCACACCCCAGAGGTTCATGGGCGAGAGCTTGGTTTGCAGCTCTTGAAGGTGTTTCCACTCGTGGAAAGCCATAGGTTTTTAGATGTTCATAGATGTCCAATCTACGTTGTAGTGTTGCTAGCTACTCCAATACCGACACCACTTCCAATTCTTCTCCGAGTATTATTTGTGAATCAATTTGAGGTGACGAGTATATAGTAGTAACTTAATGTAACTTAAAAGTATATATCCCCTCAAGAGTTACCAGTGATCCCTTGACTAGAAGTGATTTTTTCTCAAAGATCAAGCACGTCAAGAGCGGCTCGATCTCATCTTTTTCAATGGTTGAAACCAAATAGATTACAGTACTCCACTGACTACTTCATCGTATCACTTTGAACCCATACAGCCTATTTCTCATCATTCTTGTCCAACATTGTCATTGTGTTTTTGGACTCCATAGATCTCCCCAACAGTTAGGAACCTGCAAGCCCTCAGCTTGCTGGACACGATGGATCCTGACGAGCACAGGACTTACAATTCCTTGTTTGGGTCCCGGCTTTCCCCGTTGGACGTGTGCAACCTTGCGTCCGTTCAATTCCCGACAGGTGTTGTTCGACTCTAACCCTTTCACCAAGTTCGTTCCCTCCTGGTCGGTGGCACCCATTTGAAGCTTTCCCTCCCCAAAGATGCTAGGACAAGTGCGCCAAGTCCTTCGTTGTTTGCAATGTTTTGCCCAAGGAGTTGCTCTCCCACCTTGTTCGCCACTGATGCATGTGACGCTGCTGAGGCTGTCGTCAACATCTGCAAGAGATGCACGTAGCTCCTCGCCCGCGAGCGCCAACTGCTGGGGGTTACAGCTTTGATCATCCGGCCATGCACTTGAATGAATCCTCTATAACTATAACACTCTAAAGCTTGCGACGCAAGTGGGTTTGTGAAGGAACAGCCTCTTCCATGACCACATCAGGAGTTGGTGATGTTCATCTTAGAATTAGATCTCGAGCAAGCCAGTCAAGGATGTGAACGTGCCCGAGGTCCCAGAAAGCCGGAGACGTGGCGCATATCATGACAGTCATGATATGTCATGATACTGATAGATCCACATAAACCATAGTTGTAGCATGTTGTAATTATCTCAATTTATCGTTCACATTCCTTCACCTTGTAGATATCAAAGATCAACCATTCAAACTTCCTGAAAATGGATGCCCAGTCACAGAGGTCTTAAAACGGACCTCAAGGCCAAGGTCACTCTCTCGGCCCGCCCAGCGCGAAGCGCCGCTCGCTTCGCGCTCCGGTGATCCAAGCCCGCCAGGGCCATGCGCAAGCGAGCCACCTGCGCGAGCTGAGCACCGATGGCTGAGCTGGGTGGCTGAGCTGGGCAGCCCGTTACTGCGGGTGATCCCGAAAGCCCGTTAGCTCGGTTTCTGACAAGTCCTCACATGTGGGAAAAACCAAGGGCCTCCTTTCCAGTTAATCGGATGGCTGCTGAAACGGGCACGATGTCTACCAATCAACCTGGATTCATGTCCAGGCCCATGGATTCAAGCAAACGGTTGAGGAGCTGCTTGAGCCCATGCATCTCCCAACATCAAGTCTGGCTTCCGCCTGAGGAGGGGCGAGCCCCAACTCTTCGGCTGCTCGGATGACTGAAGCACCGAGACTCAGCTGGGTCTTGGCCTGAACGGGGCATTTGCATTCTCTGTAATATGAGCTGTCCTCCCATCCACTGAAACCTCGACCAAATTGCCAATCATGCTTCCTGTTTCGACGGCTCCCCAGTAGCATTCCTTGGACACAATTATTCCACATGACAAGCTTGCGGGCCTCCTGTTGGGGCGCCATGGCAGCTCGACTGGCCGATATGACCTCCGACACTTCCTCAGGAGGAAGATGCCTTGGGACGCGCGAGAGAGGGGCAGCTTTGAAACTAGACGCCTTGGGGGTCCTACTCAGCCATCCCATGAGCACGTCTAGGTCTATTCCCGGTCTCATCGGCTCAGAAGTGACACCCAAGTGACAGCTCCTCTGCTGCATGTCGGAGCTCAGCCAAAGGATCGCTCCTTCACCAGCTTGCATTCCAATTGCACCAGCTGGGATGTGGTGATGTGATGCTGCAAAGGTTATAGAGTTTCTTTGGCTATAGGGATCACACGCTTTCACCCCTTGACCAGTTTACATCACAACTCCAGCTGGTGATCTTTTCAAACTTCTGTTTTGGAGTTTCCGATGTCCTTCTGACAATGAAGGTGTGCTGACTTTGTGTGCACTCCACCTTGCCAAAAACGTTCTTCAAAATGCGCTCTACTAACTAGAGATTTCCTTGCCGTACGCTTGTGTGTATATAAAAAGAACACAGCAGCCGCCCCTTTTTCCCACAATCTTGAGCCAAACATGTCCGGTGAAGTGAAACGTCAATGACTGGATCATGTGATGGCTACATTCATTAAGATTCCTATGACTTGCATGTCAAGTGATACACAGTGCTTGGTGACACATCGAATGCAAAGCTTGCCTGCAGAGATGCTCTTTGGTTGTTCATGGACTGCTTCAAGGACTGCTTCCCCTGGCGTGCCAGATGCATCGACCAGGGTGCCTTGCTAGTGGATTAGGGGTGGTGGTTTCACCCCATGTCTCTCTCCTCCCCCTTCACATATTAACAGCTTCAGTGGAAGATGGGTGCCTCGAGAGATTTGGATCCACGACGCCTAAAAGCTCCAAGGCGTGACTCCATTTAGAAACCGGCAACGGCTTCGTGAAGGGATCAGCCTTTTGATGGTCCGTTTTTATATAAAGCAATTTGGCACTACCATTCGCGAACGTCTCGTATAGAGAAGAGAGGTTGATACGATGGTGCTTCGAAACATGTCGGAGCTTGGGGCTATAGCCCTGGCCGCATATGGTTATGACAGCGCTGTTATCCTGGAAACACACCAATTCAATTTCTCTTCTGAACACTTCCTCAACGAATTCGGCAACTGGCAAAGCGTCAAATACGCCGTGGGCAAGTGATATGATCTCGGCCTCTGTGGTCGATCGTGCAGTGGCACCCTGTCGCTTACTGTGCCACGACAGTGGCCAGTAAGACCCCGGTCCTTGCAGAGACAGCAAACCACCAGAGGTGCTCTTTGCATCCTCTACCGCGCTTGAGTGGTCCGCGTCGGTATACAAGACCAGTTGTAGGTCTTCCTGACGATCTGCGATTTTGCCTTTCAGGCAGAACGCCTTGGTCTCGAACAGATAGTTCATCAATCTGTGCAAGCGGCGGTCTTCGGCACGACTCCACTTCGTGACACGGCGGGTGAGATCCCCTATTGCCTTTACCGTGTCCGGCCTGGCAAGTCTGCCCGCCCAAAGGACTTTCATCAAGACCTTACTAGCATCACTTGCTAGAGCACCGCGCTCCTCCCATTCATTCACTGGAATGGAACCTTCTGGTAAGTACGGTGATGCAGCGCCTTTCAATGGCATCCCTGACAGGTTTTCATACATTTGGCATGCTGAGTTGATGAAATCTACCATGTCGAAATAAACTTCAGTCACTCCGTTTTCGCGTTTGAACAAATGCTTTCTGCCAAGACAACGATCCACTGGGGTCGGTTCTTCTATTTCAAGGTGTTTTTGCAGGTTTTCCCAGAACCCTTTGCGCAAACCTGATGGCCCTGAAAGCAAGATGTCATCAACGTACAATGTGAGGACTAGACCATTTTCAAAGGTCCAATTCGACTGGTTGTCTCTGTCAGCTTTACCTCCCATGAGTCCCATCACTTCACGGAATCTTGCATCCCAGTGGAAACCCGATTCCGGGTGTCCGTATAGCGCTTTCTTCAGTGGCGCTACTGGCATTTTGATGTGAGCGAACTCCTTTGGCACTAACTCTGGTGGGAGTAGCACCCAAGTGTCCACCACAGTTCGCAAGACACTTTGAGTGTATGCACGCACAACGTCCGACTGTGAACTTTCATTTCCTGGAAGTGCACCATAGCTCAAGTTGAAGTTTATGGCTGTGATTCCTGAGGGATTCACTTTGAGTTCCTGCAGGATGGCGATGTTGTTGTCTTGGTCAACAATTTGATCGCCTCTGAACACAATTCTGGCTTGGACTTTCAGCGTGCTTCATGGACAGGATTGTCATGAGACGACCTAGGTTGTATTTACCGCCCGACTTCATTAGTTCTTCTTTGGAAATGATTTTACTAACATCCCAAACTTCATTTGCTAGAAGACCATCCAACTCTTTCTTGATAGCTTGATCAGCCCCCGGATACTTTCCCCAATCTCGACGATCAATCAATTGATGAACACCTAAGGGAATTTCATGCGGGACATGTTCTGACTGAACAAACGGACAAGTCGGCATGATTGGGACAGAATCACCATCAGGATACAAGCTGTTCGAGATTGTTTGCGCCATCCTTTCAGTGTAGAAGGCTGACTTTCCTGTGCTTGAACCCTCCAAAGGACTGTGTTTGAAGTCTTTTGGGTGTTGGCATCTGTATGCACCAAGGTCTTTTGCCAACTTTCTTGATGAGGTTACGACTCTCCATGTCTTCAGATGTGGCTCTCCTTTACTGTCTTTCAAATCAAAGGCACAGCCGTCACAGCATGTCTCATACAAATCATGTTTCTTGACAAACTGCAAAAGCTCGGTCAACATCCAACCTTCGCAATGTTTGGGCCATTCGAAAGCAACATGTCCTCCGTTCTGGAGAATTCTCTCGGCAACCTTTATGTAGTTAGCTAAGAGTTTCTTGCTTGTCTTTCTCTTGGCTTTCAATTTCTTTGCGTAGGATGAACCATATCGATGCAGACACATTTTCTGCCAAGGACTCCACGAACTACATGGAATGCTTCCCCAAAGGTCAGCCCCCTTGAACATGTCTACCAACGACAAAAGGCTTTTGATGTCTTCTTCATTTTCCAAGTTGGTTTGTTCCCGATGCAACCTAAAATGTGGGACCCCCCCTTGATTCGTTAATATCTCCTAGTTTCGAGTCTTTGCTGCAGCAGAATTCAAACATTGCATGGCTTTTGCCGGACCTAATCCTCCTTTCACGGGTTGGCTTCAATGTCTGAACGTTTTTGACTTCTGCAGGGACCGGAGTTAAACCAAGGATCGACGTGACAGCATCAAGTCCTCGAAGAGGTTCTTTCTCAACACTGCTAGTCATGGTCATGATTCTTGCTTTCACATTTTCAGGCTTCTCCTTTGGGAAGAAGTATGTGCATCCTACCCAACTTCTTGAACAAATGCGCCTATTCGGTGACATGGATTGCCAATCATCCGCAAACAGTGAAGTCTTGTTTCTACAAGTCCAAACAGTTTGACGTTCTGTTGTCACTTCGAACGAATCGAAAGGACAGTCGTTTCCAAGCGGTGTGAACAAACGCTTCCTCGGACGGACATGGATTCTCTTCCATGCAGCTTTGGCCTCATCAAAGTCCCAATAGTCATTCAGTGCCTCAGCATTACAGCAATCCACGAGAGAAGCCTGCAGCTTGCTCTCTTGGCCTTCAGGCCGGACAATGGGATTTTCTCTGAATTTTTGGCGGCTACACTTGTCCTTCAAGGTGTGCATCGAAATGTCCACAGCCTCTTCTGATTTCTCTTTGTCTTTCTTCGAATCTGACTCTTTGGCTAGTCTCTCGTCTTCCAAGAGTTTGCCAATCCTTGCGTGGCATTCATCGCTGTGCCTCACGCCTTCTGCGATTCTGTCGCAGCCTTTGCAACCTACAGTCTTTCCGAACCTAATGCATCTCTCCAATGTTACATAAGGCCTGCGTTTGCGTTTGGCTGGCTCGGGAGGATCCTCTCCAAAGGGCAACGACTCTCTGGGATCAATGCTCAGCAACTCCCGGTCTGCTTTAAACACTGCCAGCTGTGAATTTGCAGCCTCTTCCAAAGGAAAGATGAACACTTCTGGTTTCACAAGCTCACTAGTATACACTTGGATTGGTTTCTCACAACCTTTCTTGTTGGTACGAACAGCTTCATAATCCAAAACCAAATGCACACCTCTGAACTTATACCCGTTGTCGATTCGCCATCCACAAAAGATCCCAGGAAAAGTCCTTGGGTCAAAGGCAGGAAGTTCTCTATGCTTGGGTGGTTTGTACCAAACTAATGCACCAAAAGGAATCCGGTACCCATCAAAAACATTACTTGAAGCAACTTCATAACAGGTCTTCCCTTCCTTCAACGCTTTGGACTCAGGAGTCTCGTTCGGATGCGCAGGACATGGATGTGTGATTGCATGTGCTACAACAAAATACTCGATGCTCCTCGGCCAAAAGGCGTGCGGCAAACCTGACTTGAGATGGATCGCACGTGTGCCTTCTTTGATCCTTCGGATCAAGCTTTCCAACTTTGCATTGTGATACGGGTCATTCTCAATCCCTGGTTCACTCAACCAGCCCAAATGTTCAACAGCTTTGGTCAATTCTTGAGCACAGTCGGTTTTCACAAGGCAAGAAGACCTAGGGGAAGCTCTGGTTCCAGCAAATTTCTGAAGGCACAGGATGTTCGAGTCAGTGTCTCTTGAGGTCATGGAGTAAGCTCCAATGCAACCTGAGAATTCATCGAAACAAACAAGGCATGCTTGCTCCCCACCAGCACCTTTGGTTAAATCTGCCCCCAAAATAATGTGGTCTGCTCTCATCATGTGGCCATAGTGGAGCGGAGGAATTTCATCCTCACCCGGTGCCCCCCTTGACCGATGAACCCGACCTGTCATTTTTGCTCTCTGGCAAATCGAACAGTAACGGTTTTTGGGGAAGTGACAAAGTTGATGAGTTTCACTTTTGGCTTCCTCTTCAAGGCGTTCACGGAGTGATGGGGTCCAAGGGTTAGCCTCTTCATCTTCTTCATCTAAAGGGGCATCCAAGGGTTCCGCTTTTGGTTCATCACACAACATGAGTTCATCACCAAAATGAGGAAGAGTTTCTGGTTTCTCTTTCAACACTCTATCACTTACCTTTGGCAAATCTACTGGTGCTTCAACACGAGGTTCTGGCTCCGGAACAGGAGCTCCTGCCGGTCGATCTCTCGATCCTGAACTCGGACCTCCAATTGGTTCCGTGTCTGAATCAAAGGCGACAGGACCTGGACTGGCTTCCAAATCTGCTGGTGCTGCACCTACCCATTCATGAATGATCGGAACATTCTCACGAACTTCCATGTGAATCTTTGCCGACTCAGGGCAGAAGTGCTTGAGATCACCAAGACGATCCGCCTTGATCATGTAGGGCAATTCGTCTGGCAGCCAAACAAACCCTCGTTTGTGGTGGTTTACTTGAATTCCCAAAGACAATGCATGGGGACATGAATCCAAAGTGTAGAAAGTGTTGAGACCGCTCACTTGCCCTTGGAGTTCTATGGCTTTTGTGGTTTTCCTCTCCCCACCTCCCGTTCTAAAGATCAGGTTTTCCGGCGGGTCGATGATGAAGCCTCTCCAATCATCGGGCATCGAGTCTTTCGACAACAAATTCCTTCCTGCACCTGAATCCATGAGGAATTCCATCTGACATGGATGTGACGCCAATGCAGGGACACTTGAATGATCAATCTGGGACATCGGATTGCAGCATGTGATGGCGGTCATGATCGTAGTCACGGCTTTGGCCAACAACTGGGCACAAGGGACTCTCAAGGAACTCCGAGTGACCTTTCTGCAAACCTTCTTTGCTTCTTTCAAAGCGGCTTCGGCTGACGGGATCGACGCGAATGCAGTTGCAGCAGCTACGGAAGCGGCTCCGGCATGACTTGAAGAACTAGCACCAGTACCTGACTTCAAACGAGGTTTCGGGCCTTTGTACAAGTTCCCTTTGTCATGGAGGAATTCACAATCCTTCCCGCGAGTGCATGAATCGTATGCGAAGTACATGCATGGCAGTTTTGCTTTCTGCTCCTTGGTCAGCGGTGGCTTGTCCTCCTTGTTCTTGCCTTTGCCATCTTTTCCTTTTCCTTTTCCTTTCTGGGCAAATGCTGCATCAACATTCTTGTCTTCATCAACCTTCTTTGATGCCTTGGGTTTGTCTTCCTTCTTGACCTTTGTGTCTTGCTCTGGCTTCTTTTCTTTCTCTTTCTTTGTCTTCTCTTCTTTCTTCTTGTCTTTTGCTTCTGCTTGTGCCCCTCCAACCTTTGGATCTAAACCTGCTGAGGTGAGAGCTTTGTCCATTGATGTTGTGTTCAAATCCATTTGGGATATCTCAATGGCTTCACACATCTTGCTATACAACCAACGGCTGGTTCGCTTGTAGCTACCAGTGTTTGCTTCCCGAAACTTGTCAATTGCGAGTGCCATTTTGGGGTGATTCTTGAGGCTTTCAAACAACAACGACCTCAGCGACGTTTCAGCTGGCATCTCACTAGGTTCAAGAGCGCCTACGCAAAAGTCATATCGCTGTCGAAAGTCTTCAAGTGCCTTGATGTCACTACCATTCATCTTCAAGGACAAAAGGTGGTGCTGACTAAGTGCCGTTCCGCGGTCGCGATCGAGTCGAAACTTTTGGAAGATCAACCACAACAACTTGCGACCTTTTGGTTGTTGATCATGTGTCTGACATCTCTCTTGGTGGGTCTGAAACTCCAAGGCGAATTTTGTGCCTTTTGCTGCTTCTAGCAATTTGGCGCCTAGGATCCGATCCAAGATGGGAAAGTCCTTTGCATTGTTGAACTCTTTTCCATCTTCCGAGATGTTGCAACGATTGATCCAACGGAACACGAAGCTTTCATCATTCTTGGCAAACTTGCAAACCCCACTGAACACTGCGTTTCGGAAACTCCGGCATTTTGCTGCGTCTTGAGGCAAAGCAGGAATCTTTAAATAGTCATACTGTTTGATACGCATTAGGCGTTTCTCTCGTTTGTAGGGGTCCTCCGAATCGCTTGATGAGCCATCTCCACTTGGGGATTTTGGTGGTGAGTCTCCGCCCCCTCCAGGATTTCTGTTTGAACCCTTTCCTTTCGAGTCACTTGAAGAGGATGAAGAACCACTTCCTGGCGGCGATCCGGGGACTTTGCGGCGGTCTCTTGATCGGTTCGATGATGGCCGATTGCCCGATTGCACAGGGTTTGCCGTCAACCCACCAATCAATTGCTGCATTTGAATGGTCAACTGATGCACTTGCATTTGCAAAGCAGTGTTTTGGTCACTTTGGATTTGAAGTCCGATCTGATCATTTAGCAAGGCAGCAGGAGGCAACATTGGATTTGCCTTTGGTATCTCTCCTGCACAAGCGGACTGCGTTGGTGAAGGTGCCAAATGCAGCTCTTCACCATTGGTTCCTGTGGCAATGGGCGTCAATGCAAACGAAGGCAACACGACCCGCGAATCTTGCATTGGTTGACCCTGGAATGCGACCGTGCCAGGATGGTAGGATTTAGGAGTTGCAATACTATGCACCACCGGAACCAATTCACCCATTCCATGAACTTTCCTGGATGGACTTGGCTGACCAACACTTTCAGGTTTCCTTTGGCGGCGGACTACAAGGATGGATGGTGCTTGGTGCCCCTGGAGTACCACTCTTTGCAAGGGACTGCAACCTTTCATCTTGATCCTTGATCCTCCTCATCATTGCTTCCATTTGACCCCTCATTTCATTCATCTGCCTAGTGGTGGACTCTAGTGCTTTCTCCCTTTGGTTCAATGCACCGGTCACTTCAACCACCTGGTTCGTGCGATCAATCACTAAAGCCTTCAATTGCTCAATCTGGTTTTGGTAATTAGCAACCTCTTGATGAGACTGATTCATCAAACGGGTAGCTTGACCTTGGGTTTGACGGACCAGTTCATGGGCTTCTTCTTGAGACTGCTGGACCATGCTCCTGGCAGTGGATTCTACCGCCTGGATTTGAGACCTGGCTTGGTTTTCAATGGATTGAACTTGACTCTGGATTTGGGCTTGAGCATTAGATTCAATACCCTGGATCTGCTGAAGGGCTTGGTTCCTAAACTGACTCTCCATTGCTTGGACATACTGAGCAGTCTGGTTCCTCGCATTAGCTTCAACTTCAGAGGCGTATTGAATGGCTTGACCCTGCACTTCGGACACGACCTGGTGAGCCTGAGCTACTACCAGAGGGTTCAAATCCAAAAGATTGACTGATCTGGCATCTGTGAAATGAGACGACTGGTTGCTTTCGAACACAATCTGTCTTGCATCAATATGACCGATGGTCGGTTGTTGGTGTTCAACACCCGTCCTTGCTGTTGGATTTCCTTGATTACTTTGAACCATCGATGAGTGAGATGTTTCTGTCAGGGATGACAAACTCGTATCTTGGATAGGGTTGCAATGGCTTCCCCAAACATGACAATCTGTTCACTCTCCGGTGAACCATGCGCACTTCCTCCTGATCCCTCCATCGCTTCTTTTCAAAGATCAAACGACGTCTACTCGGCTGCAATGAAATTCTCAACTGCCTCCTTCGTCCAGCCGTCGCTCAACCAATTGGCGTATGGATACGCAGATCCGCTGTTCAAGCTCCTCTTCCGTGAAAGCTTAATGTGAATCCCTGTTGCCCTGTCGGTGGCCAAAGTGGCTTCCAACTCAGATAGGATATCAGCGTTGTCGTCGATCAAACAACAAGACAAGTGATCCCCCAACCGTTCGGCAAATCTCGAGATAACTGCAGCCTTCCCTGTCGGACCGTCCGGCTCGAACGTACAAATGATCCCGTCAAACAAGTGATGAATCCCTTCGCTGTTGCTCCAAATGTCCTTGCACGCTTGATAGCGCCCCGAACTCCCAATGAAAGAAAGAACGAAAACAAATGGAATACGCTCGTGATCCAATGCAAATTGTCTGAACTTCTCAATCGCCTCAATGTTCTCAACTCCCACGCGACCTGTCTGTCTGCAAGTATCGCTGTGATCCCTGTCAAGAACCTGATGGTGATCAACAAAAAGGACCTTAACCTGGCCAATGTCTGCAACTGCTCCCAAATGCACTTCCTGTGACTCCCAACGAGTATAGCGACCCTCCGCTGCCTCAAAGGTAAGGAAATGTACCGTGTCCGGCAGAACAATCGAGACTTGAACTGGCTCTGGCCTCCGCGGCGGTGCCTTTGCAAATGCCTTTGGCGTAAGGCCAATCACAGCAGGCGGTACCGAAACAGCGGGCTCAGGCCTAGGTGGTAGTGCCGAAGCAGCTAACCTATGCGCCTCCTCGAATCGAGCTCTGTACGTTTGAAGAACCTCCTCAACAATCGTCACCCGACTCTGTGCGCAAAAGTTAAAAGACGTAACACCGTTCAGCAAATGCGGATGTGTCAACGCAAAATGCCCCTCAGCCACGCCCTGGCGAATGAACGCCCTCTTCTGTGCTCGGCCGCTCTTTCCAGAGCGAGGGAACCTCAGAAGCTTGTGGAGCTCCTCGTACTCGGGATGCTCCGGATCAGAATAACCCCCTTCAGGCGGGGGCGGACCAGCGGGTTCAGTCGGACGACGTGAACCAGAGGAAGATGCGATGGCTGCAACGACGGCCAACAACCGATCGCAAAGCGATACGGCTGATAACCAAAAGAACACAGCAGCCGCCCCTTTTTCCCACAATCTTGAGCCAAACATGTCCGGTGAAGTGAAACGTCAATGACTGGATCATGTGATGGCTACATTCATTAAGATTCCTATGACTTGCATGTCAAGTGATACACAGTGCTTGGTGACACATCGAATGCAAAGCTTGCCTGCAGAGATGCTCTTTGGTTGTTCATGGACTGCTTCAAGGACTGCTTCCCCTGGCGTGCCAGATGCATCGACCAGGGTGCCTTGCTAGTGGATTAGGGGTGGTGGTTTCACCCCATGTCTCTCTCCTATATATAAATGTATCTATATATATATATACATATGTCATATGTATTCATATGTGTATACAATATTGTACAATATAGTACATATCTATGCACACATGCATGTGAGGGTACATGTTCTTTGTCCTTTGCGAGTCGGTTTTGATCACTTAAATAGCCCGGTCAAGTTTGGACAAGCAAAACTCATGCGTCGTTTTTGACCCACCGGCATTGTGTGAGTTTCTCAGCCATGGGGTCCTCAGCACAGGAGCGGCAATCTCCTGATGGGGTCAGCTGATGAGTCTTCAAACAACATCTAATTGAACAGCGGCTGTAAGCTCGGTAGGTGAGCCTCCAGAACACGTGTCACATCAAGTCAAGCATGGTTCTAGGTCTCTATAAACTCCATCCTCCGCAGCAACACACACCATTGGCGTTAAGCCATTCGAAGGGGTCTTGGGAGACATGTCGCAGGCCGCAAAACATTCCGGTCAAACAGTACCAGTTCACTCACATCCAAAAATGGAACTCGTCTGGTAGGCCTGTTCATTGGGGGTCACTTCCGCGAGATCCATTGGATCACTTGGCGGCTCTAAGAGCAATTGTAGACCTGCATGTAGCCACTTGGAACAGCCCCATTGGAGTGGCAACGGCCCTGCTGTCCTGTCGCAACAGTGCCTTGCGTTGATGCCGCTCGTCCACATCCTCAGAGACTCAGTGGGGCCAAAGCCTGCATCATCCTGCATCCACACTAATCTAGACCGTTGATGAATAAAGTTTCACGTAGAGGTTGCGTAGAGGTTTGTATTGCTCAACGGTCACTAGATCTAATCAATGTGCGTCCTTGATCTTGACTTCCCGCTTCCTTCAGGAGCCAGGTATATAACGCCCTCGCAGCTGCGAAGGCAACAGGTCTTTGTTCCCAAAGATCATGTTCCGTTTTTGGTGTCGTTGGCCCGAGGCTCCCAAACGATGCGATTTTCCTGCATCTTCGTGGGCACCTTCACCCACATATGGTTGGGACATGTTGGGACAATCTGGCCCGAAGCATGCCAGCGCTCACCTTTGTGCAGTGGCTTTACTGTTTCAATCATTTGCGTTCGTGTGCTGGGGATGTCTGGGGACATTGCCGGGAATCCAAGCAAGGCATGCGGCATGTCATATAATTAGGCAATCCTACGCAACTGTATGTAACCGTCCAATCCTCAACCAAGCTCTGCCGGGCTGCCATTCTCCCATGCATCCCACCACTCCCGCGATGCTTGCCAAGGCACGGAGGTCTGGCCAAGCACGATGAAGGCCACTGAGGCCACGAGCAGCATCATCCTACCTCAATAAAGGCCAACGTGCGCGTGCATGACGTTCCCTGAAAAGAGATTGCGTCAACAGGCCGTCTCAGGCCTATAAGGGTTGGCGATGAAAACCATCTGCACACTTTTAGAGGTCAGGAATGGCATTGAGCTGACTTTCAAGAGCGATGATCTTGGGCTGTTCCAGTCGTGGCTATGGCGGCTATGAGCCAGCAAAGGTGATCTGTTTGCCTCTGGGCCACTGATACATTGCAAAGCTCTCGGTACGCTTAAGATATGAAAATGAAGAAAGTGGTACAAGGAAGTGGTGCAAATGTCAATTGTCAAATCCATCGTTATACAGTATCGTTTGCTGGCAGGACTGCAGGACTCAAGGGCTAGATATAATATACTTTCCATCCCCCTTGGAATAACCAGGAGACGATGGAATTGCATTTTTGTAGCTATGATTTGCGGGGTGCAGAGTTTGGCGATATAAAATGCAAGGAGCCCGAAGATACTCAAGATATAGTGCCAATGGCTGCAGCAAAAATTGCCTTCGAAAAAGGGAGGGGAAAGTGCACTACAAAATAGAGGTCCAACCTAAGGCTTATCCAAAATCTGTGGACTAGAAACCCTGGTTTTGCATGTTGTAATGCACTCACTAGTACAGTAATTGCCAAAAATGGCAATCACATCTATCTCGCTCTTCCGGCTATTTATTTGACTGCTGCCGCTATTATGATCTTTGGTTTCTATATTGGTACGAGTTGTGTCCAAGGTGTTTCCAACGTCTTTCTCTTTCATGTTATGTGATTATTGTTTGTTCTCTGATAATCTTTGATTTTATTGCGCACCCTCTGAGCCCAAATGGGTCTGAACCATGTATAGCCAATTTTATAACATCTCTCATAATCGTACAAAAATGAGGTTACTACAACGTTTTTTTAACTAAAGTGGCCTCACTACAAAATGTCTAGCCTACCCCCCGGAGTGCTTAGAAAATGTAACACAATTTCCTTACACAAAATGCCGGTGGCCGAGACTCTATTTTTACATTCCCCCGGGAATTAAACATCACAGGTCTACAAATTGAAAGGCCCCATCCCCTCCCAGGCACCCTCAAAGTCAACTATATAAAATCCGGATTTATACTGGCCACATGGCTATCCATTCTGTAGTAGATATTCTACGGGGGATTGCTTTCCGTATTTCTTTGGATTCTCATCCATTCATTTCATTTCATGTCATGTCATGTCATTTCATCTCAGTTACTGTAATTCATTTCATTCATTCATTCATTCATTCGACGATATTTTCTTTTGACAGACTTGCTCGTAAAAGATCAAACGGGCAGCAGTCTGAGACCTCTCTTGAGAGTCCAGCTTTTTTGATCTTTTTTGTCCAGCAGTCAAGATTTGGAAAGTGATCGCACTCGGAAGCGGAGTCCATGGATGTTTCGTAAGCTCGTACTGAATCCTGATGCATTGTGGTGTGAATTTGGGCAAGAAAAGTGTCAGTGAGATGCCTTGCATGGCTTTTGGCAGTGTTGATTCATTCCAGCATCAGCACGTTCTCACCAAAAACAACACCTTCATTCCAGCACCAGCACTTCTTCCAGAAAACCTTCCACGTCCTAAGCGTAAGTATTTGGGGCTATCCAATGTATGCACACTTTTTGACTTTGTCAGGCCGTCTTTGTGGACAGGGCCCCCTCAAAACGGAAGGAAAGGCGCACTCTTGTCAGCGAATGAACAACCAAGTGAGCGAGAGAGAGAGAGAGAGAAAGGGAGAGAAAGGGAGACAGGCGCCATGGAAAGGCCATAGAAGGCCCCGCTTCGGGCACCAACTTTGTGAGGTCTTGGAACTTGAGACTGAATCTCTTCATCTGAGCGCCGTCTCCTGGAGTTCGCCGAACCAGCAGCTGGAACATGTTTGGATTCTGGATGAACGTCCATCTGAAAGCACTGGCTTCAACCTTTGGTGAAAGCGAAGGAGCTTAGATTAGATAGAGAGGAAACCGCACCAGAAGCCCCCTTGACAGGAGGACCGTGGTGCAACAAATTCTGAGCAACTAGTGGTACAATGCGTTCATCGCACAAGCAATGATCCTGTCCATCTGGTGACCAAGGATGGCTCGCCCGAGCTGCGCCGCCCCACTTCCATGTTTGCGAAGACGGGGCAAAGGCACGAGACAACACAAAAGATCCGTAGAATTGAGATCTGAGAAGCCTTGCAAAAAAATCAAGAGCATTGATTTTTCTTGGATGAGTTCACTAGGATTTTGATGAAACCGATGTGACCAAAACTTTTAAATGCGTATAAAGCACATAAAGGAAAATGACCCCTGGACAAGAACCATAAATTTGTCCATACTGGTACTAGGGGTCAAAGTTATATTCGGAAACTAAAAGGTGATCTTCGGAAACTTTACGGCTTTCTTCGGAAACTATGCGGTTTTCTTCGGAGACTTTATGGTGTTCTTCGGAAACTGTTACATGGACACTTAAATTCGGCAACTCAAAAGTGATCTTCGGAAACTTTAAGGTTTTCTTCGGAAACTAATCTTCGGAAACTCCACGGTGTTCTTCAGAAACTAATGTTCGGAAACTACAGATCGCAACACAAGCATTTTTGTACCGTAGCCGTCACAAGGTAGGTCAATATCCCACCCACCTACCCCCCCACCCACCCAGCCCTCCTTCATGCAAATTGGTTGCAACATTGTAAAATATTGTAAAAGTTCTGAGGAATACTTTCTAAAGTTGGCTTTCTGAAGATCGCGGAATAGTCTCTGAAGATCGCGGAATAGTTTCTGAAAATCGCAAAATAGTTTCTGAAGATCACAAAATAGTTTCCGAAAATCGCGAAATAGTTGCTGAAGATCGCGAAATAGTTTCTGAAGATCGCAAAATGGGTGTGTATTTTTTTACCGTAGTCGGGCCGGGAAGTTTGAATAGGTGGTATGATTCGCAGATGATTCGCAGCTTTGAAGTTGTATTGTTGGATTAGCTGGACTTCCAGCAGTGGGCCCACTCTGCGCCGAGGCAGTAGGCAATCGGCAAGCAGCATCTGTTGGATGCTGGGCAGACTAGGCAAATGCACTTTTCCACCAAAGACTCCAGTGGCGATGGGTGGGAGACTGTGTGGAGGTGAGTGATTCGGGTGTGAATCGGTGTGATTCGTATGGCGATTATCATTAGATTCTGCAAAAGAAGGCGGTCCTTTGGCTCTTCTTCCCAAGGGAGAGCACATGGGAACATTATGAATACGCCTGGGAGTGAGCCTTTGCTCTTCCCACAAGAAGACACAAACAATTTTGGCCAAATTGAGTGCCCATGGATCACACAATTGCAAACATCATGCACCATTGGCTCCTGGACATCTTCAAGGCACAAAGACCAACCAAAAACTTCACCTTAACACCTGGTTTTTACGTGTAACGTTTTGAGGGTTATGATTCGGGGGTACGATTCGAGGTATGATTCGAGGGTATGAATCGCTCAAGTCGAACTTCCAACCACTACATCAGGAAGTACACGCCAAAAATATACAAAACCAATTAGTTCCTGAAGATCCCAAAATAGTTGCGGAAGAAACGTTTCAGAAAAATGGAGAGTTGCGGAATAGGACTTCGTGCTGGTACTAGGGCTCGCACCAGGTGGTGCAGGATTTCCGACTTTCAACTTTTCTTGTTTTCGCACGAGACTCGGCATTTTAAAGAGGGAGCACGAGGGTAGGAAGAGACACGGGCACAAAGTGGTGCAGGATTTTGTCCATCAACCGTATCATGTTCATAGTTCATGGCATTTATGACAATTTAAGAAAAACAAAGGAACATGAATGAACATGGCATGGCAGTTTTTATGATTTCAAGAAGTTTGTACAGTAATTGATACGTTTTCATGTAGCTGCTTCCTTAGAACGTCCATACAAAAGTAGGATCTCAACCGTAGAACTTCTACCATCATCAGCATTGTCAATCGCCAATAAATCCCCACTTAAACAGGCCTGCCTAATTATATAAAAAGGACATTCAATGCCGAATTCTACGTGCGCCTACCAAGAAATGTAGCGTTTCACCATGTTCAACCCTGTCTACATCCTGAGGCCCCGGCACCGTCATATGCAAACACGCCCGGCCCACAGGTACAGGTCCCGGGTCCGACGGAAAGGGCCTGATCTTCTGACCATGCCAGGCCAAGTTTGAGCCCAAATCGAGATGGAGTTGCGAAAAATGAGAGACGGGCAGCCCAAATGTTTGAGGTTGTTTGGGAGTCCAAAACTTCAATTCAGCCTAACTACAAGTTGCAAGAGTCACATTCCCTTTGTGGGCCCCACGGCTAATGAGGACACCAGCAGCACTAAAGGATGCACACACTAGTACATATCCTAGCCTAAGAAAATGTGTAGGGTTTAGTTTACTTGCAAAGATCGAGGTGTTCAATCAACACCCAAGGTTCCAAGGCGTTGAATTCCGCTGAAGTGGCAGGGCGGAAGGCTGGGTCCAGAACTTTCGAGGAAAAAAGCACCAGTTTCGGCTGACGAGAAGCAGTCGGAGAGGCCTGACAACCTGTGACTGACTCGACGCAGCACCTCCACAAGAGTGGGCGAACACAAGAAGTCCTACAAAATCCTACAAAGAGATGCGTGAACATAGACTTAAACCATGGCTTTCGACAAAACATACCGTAGGCGGATTTTCATGGATTTTCTATGCACGACACGGCACACCAAAAATTTGGGCAACCCGGGCCACAAGCCTGCTCCAAGCCTCCAGCCAACCAGCCATGCTAGATCCATGCAAGTTGAGCAAGTGCGCCCTTCCCCCACCACATGCACAAAGAAAACACAACCCTTCCTGGAATCCGCTGGTTTAGTAGCGAACCTGTCCATCTTTGGAGGACAATAAGCGCGGTAGGTGGCCTTGTTGGGGTCTTGGGAAGGAAGGATTGTGCTGGATGCTTCTTCAGTTCTGCCCGGGCCGAGCTCAGCCGAGCTCAGCCGAGCGCTCTCTGACACCTCCGCCGCGCGTTCGCCGAACGCCGAAAGCGCAGGGCACAGGGTCTGGGCACCATCTGGTTGGTTCGTTGGGGAAGGGTAATCTGGCAAAATGAACCAGCCAATGGTACAAATGGATACACATGGGAAGAGGCGAAAATGGCGAACATATGCCAAAGTGGTCTGGAAGTGTGGTGTGGGCCAATGCCACAACACCAAACCCGTGCAAGGTTCCCATGCCCATTGGCAGGCTGGTAGGTGGTTGTAGGCGAAGGCCATGTTCAAAAAGAATAAGGAACACACACACATTTGACCTTGAACTCGTCCATGTCACATCTCCATTATCTTCGTTCTCGGAGCAAGGACGGGTCCTTCACATGACTGGGCCGGTCTCTGAAAAATCGTGACACACCCCCAATGAATTATGATTCAGTATTCATCCTTCCATATGCTCGTTGGACCTCCACATTTTGGGACCTTACTGTAACTTACCCTAACCCATGGTGAATACATGTGGACCAAGACCTTGTGCCTAACAGTTCCTAGCTGCCTCCAACACAACGACTCTCGCGACACTCACTGATCTTCTCCTTGGGCCCTCCGACGTCCGTGACAGTGGATGAGTCGAAGAAGAATTGGGCAACCAAATCCGCCCACACAACCCATTTAACATCAAGCTGATACAAGTTGTCGTGTTCCAAAGTACCTGTCGTCACCGCAGATTCTCAAACTCTGGGCATCTCTGGGTTAAAGAAGGACATTCGTCATAGTTCATCGCTTCCGTCACGGCTGAATAGCTTCCAGTCTCACCCCTCTTTGAAGGGCGACTGGTGTCGCTTGTTTCAAGCGAGGATAACTTTAGGCGCCCAGCCGAGTGTGGAAACCCCGGGGTCAAGCTCCTCAGGTAGCAAATCAGTAAATCTGTCCAAGTCGACTACTCCTGCTTTGGGACGTGACAAGAAGATTGTAAAAAAGCTTTGAATGCAGGTTGGCCAGCTCTTGGCTAAGTCCATGATTGACCAGCTTCTTCTCCCTCACTCGGCCTTGGCCCCGACTGGAGGGCTGCTCTCAAAGGATGGAGCACTCCCGTCAGGTGAGACGCTGCTCTTGAAACAACTCAACCTTGCGCCAAGACCTTAGACCATGCTTTTGATCGGATGTGAGGTTTGATAGACCATGCTCTCATGTCATATATGAGCCTAGTTTGTATGCAAATGCATCTCTCAGCAGTGCTTCATCACTTGCGCACTTGTCTGTGTTTGGCTGGAGTACTTGTACAGGTTACTTGTACAGGTTCTTAGTGCTAGTACTGATTAACGATCGCACCCGATTACATTGGTTGGTGCCAAGGATCAACACCCGAACATTGACTGTGTAACAAGGCTTGCCAGGCTTGCTTATAAACGTTGGGTGTCAATGAATCTTGTGGCCTCCATCTCCTCCATTTCAGTGTTGCATGTCCCTTTCCTGGCTTCTACCAAGAACAATACGACAAAAGAGAGTCGCCAGCACAACACAAAAGCACAAGGTGACAGCGATATTGCAAGCATGATCTACATTGACAATACCTCACTGCAAAATAACCTCAGGATGGCAAGCTTGAAAGACCTATTCTGACCGCTTGCCGCTTGCCGTCTTATAACCATTTCACAGTGCCAAGGATCCCACGCGAACCCCACTGCCCCGAAGCATACCACAACTTGGGTGGGGAGGAGCATGCCACTTGTGGCGAGGCACAGGTCGGACTAGAGCCTCCAGCCACTTGATACATTCAGGTGGCATGTCACCCCTGGAAATTGCATTTTGTAAGCACAAGGCATCTGCATTTCATAGTGGAACAAGTAAGGAGGATATCATTTAGAAATTATATGGCTTGGCCAAGAACCCGAGGACCCGAAGAGTACCAGTACCAAGTTCACGAAAGGCAGCCCAGGCACGGCTATCTTACTGCTCCCTGGCGCATATCCAGCGAAGGAGGGGATTGTCGGGCTCGGCATCGGCGTTTGAGCGGCTTTGAAACGCGCCGTCGCCTGCGCCCGGTGATGGCAGCATCGAAAATTGCAAGCTGTGGCCTGAGGTCTTCTGTCTCCTACCCGGTGTAGTTTAAATAGTGACCTGCATGTATAAATGTGTACACCCTCAATCGTTCCCTGGAATTGAAAAACAATTCAAACCCCTTTGAACAAGTCCTGCACGCCATCGGATGAGCACCTATTGGTCCGACTCTGGCCGCCCTCGCCCAAACAAACATCCGTGCAATTCAGTAAGAAGACCCCGCGGCCCTGGCTGCAGGCGCTGGCTCTGGATCGGCGTTTCGTTTTGCGGGCGCTGCTGCCGTGCTGGTGCTGGTGCCGGAACAAACCGGTAGACGGTAGACTGGCCTATTTCCCTTCACCGAACCCAGGGGTCGAAGGTTCGCACCTTGAGATGAAGTTCTTCCGCCTCTGCTCGTGCCGTCTTCACATCGGCAAGGTTGGCCTCCGGGCCCAGGGACCTCAAAATGGCCCCTGCCAGGGCGGCCTTTGCTGCCAAGGTCTCCACATGCTCAGCCCCTAAGCAGGTCTCACCTTGGTGGCAGGTGAGCATGAGGAGGTTTGTCCCCCCAAATAAGATCCAAACAATGCGGCCCCCTCTGGCAACTCCTCACAGAAAAAAAACAGGAACATCATGGAACATCCATCTTGAAGATCTTGAAGTCCAAATCGCTCAAGTTGGCCACCTCTCGCCGCAAGGCCAAGGACTCTGCCTGTGCCTCCGGAAGCTCCTTCCGGCCCAAAATCGATGCCAACTCCGCGCGGGCGGACAAGGTGTCCGGATGGGTCGCGCCCAAGGTGCTGGAGCGTCGCTCGGCGACCTGACGCACCAAGGCCTCTTCGCGCTCGGGCTCGCCCAACTCCGCCAGGCCCAGTAGGAAGCCGCCCGCGCGACTGCGGCCGCGGCGGCGCTCGGCAGGCGCCAGGGAATCCAAGCGCTGCCAGATCTGCTCGTTCAACTGCTCTGCCTCACGAGGGTTGCTGCACTCCAACAGGAAGGCCAAACGGCCCAGAGCGGTCAAGGTCTCCGGATGGCTGGGACCCAGCTTCTGCTCACGACGTGACACCACCTGGCAGCGGAATCACCAAGAAATGACCGTTCTCCGGAATCACCAGGTGGGTTTGGGACGGTGCATGTGCGTGTAGCTATGGGCATCTATGGACCTATAGGATACTCCGAGTCGATGTAACAAATCCATCACAGCGAAACGTGACCTCACGCAGGTGAGCTTCTGCTTGTCGATGTCGGGTCTCGTCCCCTTGCACCGCCAAAATGTGCGCCAGCTGGCATCGTGCTTTCAGGGTGGTGGGGTCATCCCTTCCTCAGCAGATCTGGAAATCTAGATTGCAGTCGACCATCGACCGTCCATTTGAGAGTGTTTGACACCGACGAGCAGCAGGAGGATTCACTCTGGCGAACTCTTCGGCAAACCCTGAGAGGAGGATCCTGCTAGGGGATGTGAGGCATTGGACAACATTTGACACGTCGCACGGAAACGTGCAAGACAAAGACAGTAAGAGAGCCTGCAGGTCTATTCAATGCAGAGTGTATACGTTCCGTCAGGACTCCGGGCTCGCGGCTCAAAACCCCAAGTGCTTGGCTTTTATGGGGGACACCCGTGCCTACTTTTTTTGCGATGGCATGCGATGACCATCCCTTCAATCCGAGGTTCCGAAGGAGACGTGCGCCTGGTCAACCAAGTTCTTCAGCATTTGCTCCGCATCCTCCAATCGTTCTTGACGTCGTAAGATCTCCTGAGTCCACCCCTGATGGAGTGGGCGAAACAAACCCGCCGATGTTCTTCTCACGTGCATCCGAACAACACGCCGAACTGAAAGCTGGAGGAATTGATGCGATTTGGTGCACCATATTTGGGTCATACATCTTCTATGGGTGTGGGTCATAGATGGTCATAGTAACCCCTGGCCTCGGGCTGGGCACACCCTTGGAATCTCACTCATCCCATCAAGTCGCCTACCAAACCCACAACGTCCCGCATACTCCACCTTTCAGCGACTCGTCCATTACGCGGGGACCCGTGTTGGTCTTCCTCTCTTTTGGACTCTTTTTGGTCTCCAAAGAAGTTCGGCCCAGGGTCCGCGAGATTGGACTTGGCGCGCAAGGTGTTGGAATGCTGCGGCCCCAGGGTTCGCTCACGAACTTCCAAGACCTGACGGTAGATCTTCTCGCTCTCCTCCTTGGGAGACCGCGGAGGAGAGGCGGTCTGCCCCGAGCGGAGCAGACCGAGGGGTTGGGATGGGTTGAGGGTCGAGAACGAGGAGATCAATGACCTGAAAAATGGCCTGCATCAAGAGCCTTCCATGGCCACTTCAGGTGCGGAAAAGGTATCAGATTTGGCACCATGTCTGGTTCCGTGATCCCACATGGGTTTGATGCACCAAATCCAGCACCATCTGGGATAAGAACACAGGTCTCCCTGGCAGGTTTGGTGCAGCTGGTTCAAGAATTTGCCCGCCAATGAACCTCCCTCAAACGTCCTGGAAGCTGAGCAGAACACTCCAAGAAAAAACTCTCCCAAAAGATGTTATCCAGTGACATGTGTTCGACTTCCATGATGGATTGTCTGAGGGAGGCTTGTGTGACTACGCTGTCCAAGGCGCTAAGCTCCCCATCTTGGCCTTCAATGCAGCCTCGTGGGAGTGCGTACGTGAGGAGTCGCTCGGCCCGCTAGGCGCCGCAACCCCGGTACCCAGTCCAAGTTCTGCTATGTGCTGAACATGAATGATTGGAGTCCTTGAGCGCGCTTCAAGTACCAACCACCAAAGCAATGCTCCAAAAGTTCCAAGGAGGCAGTGAGACTGAGGGTCGGGCCAGGTTGAACTTGGATGACGTCACGTCTCCATGTTCCGCACCAAACTGCGCTTCCATCTTCTTGCAAACCTCTGTGTGCAGCTTCTCTGCCTCATGAAACCTGCGGATGAAGAATCACAGTTTGCAGGGGAATTATCGCATGACTTATTATGTAATCTAGAGCGCTTGCTACCCCCAAAGTTGGAGTACATGCAAGTACGGTTGAGTGTGATGAGGTGCTGAGGGGCCTTTAGCTGGGAGGCGCTGGCAGTTTAGAAGTCCATCATTTTTGGATGTTATGGCATTATGGAGGGACAGTCTGCCCGACCACAGTCAAAGCAACGTTGGAATACATTCAGCAATGCTATATATATATATAAGTGAGTGTACAAGTGCTACAAGCGCCAAGTGATGCACATTGAATTGTGTAGAAGTTGTGCAATCAGTTAGATAATCAAAGGAAGTTTAGTGTGCAAAACTTCCGTGTTACGGACATTCAACAGCTGTTCAACCACCACTCATCATACACCACTCATCATACACCACTCATCATACACCACTCATCATACACGACTCATCATACACCACTCATCATACACCACTCATCATACACCACTCATCATACACCACTCATCATACACTAATCATCATACACCACTCATCATACACGACTCATCACACACCACTCATCATACACCACTCATCATACACCACTCATCATACACCACTCATCATACACCACTCATCATACACCAATCATCATACACCACTCATCATACACCACTCATCATACACCACTCATCATACACCAGTCATCATACACCAGTCACCATACACCACTCATCATACGCTACTTATCATCCAGTTTGCTCTACCTCCAGTTGGCTCTAGTGTCAACAGCTCTAGCTCCAATAAGCTCTTAGTTTCAATAGCTCTAGCTCCACTTAGCTCTGGTTTCAACAGCTCAAGCTCCAGGCAACTCCAGCTCCAGGTGCAGATTTCGTGGCAGGTGCAGCACTTTGTGAACCTCCATGCGCAGATTTCGTGGCAGGCACAGCACTTTGTGAACCTGCACGTGCAGATTTCGTGGCAGGCACAGCACTTTGCGAACCTCCATGTGCAGATTTCGTGGCGGGTGCAGCACTTTGTGAACCTCCATGTGCAGATTTCGTGGCAGGTGCAGCACTTTGTGAACCTCCATGTGCAGATGTCGTGGCAGGTGCAGCACTTTGTGAACCTCCATGTGCAGATTTCGTGGCAGGTGCAGCACTTTGAAAAAATCCATGCGCAGATTTCGTGGCAGGCACAGCACTTTGCGAACCTCCATGTGCAGATTTCGTGGCAGGTGCAGCACTTTGTGAACCTCCATGTGCAGATTTCGTGGCAGGCACAGCACTTTGTGCACCTCCATGTGCAGATTTCGTCGCAGGCGCAATACAAAATGCATTGTGGAGAGATAGCGAACGCACGAAATGCTGTATTTTTCAATGGAACCGGTGGCTCCGAAGCTGGCAAGTCAAGGTCTGCGGAACGACGGTTGCGAGACGGTCTCGGGTCATTCTCGGGCATGGTCGGAATCGTCCGTCCATTGGGATTAGAGTTTTCACTTGTTTCTTGAAGCGCAGATTTCGTGGCAGGCACAGCACTTTGTGAACCTGCATGTGCAGATTTCGTGGCAGGCACAACACTTTGTGAACCTCCATGTGCAGATTTCGTGGCAGGTGCAGCACTTTGTGAACCTCCATGTGCAGATTTCGTGGCAGGTGCAGCACTTTGTGAACCTCCATGTGCAGATGTCGTGGCAGGTGCAGCACTTTGTATAGACCCTGAAGTTCGGGGCCTAAGTCAGATTCCGCCAGCCGCCGGATACTTTAGGCGGCTGATTCCGCCAGCCGCCGGATACTTTAGGTGGCTGATTCCGCCAGCCGCCGGATACTTTGGTGGCTGATTCCGCCAGCCGCCGGTTACTTTGGTGGCTGGCTGGCTGATTCCGCCGGCTACTTTTTAGTTGGCTGGCTGGCTGATTCCGCCGGGTACTTTGGTGGCTGGCTGGCTG